GCAACAGCATTGCGCACCAGTGAAGCATGCGGTTTGGCCACAGCGGCGTTCTCCTCTGCTCCACCAAACAGTAACCACGTTTAGAACACTTGTTACCATACATTCATCGTGGTAAAATCATACCCGTGTTGGAGCAGAAGACTAGCAGAGCCCATAATCCCTCGGCTTGAAGGGCCTCGTTCTCAGGGTGCGTCTCCATTGCCTTGAGTACAGCAGCGATCGCACCTTGTTCCCGAGCCAGCACTAGGTTAGGCACTGCAATCCACATAAATATCTATTAGTCTTCCATTTCCAACAGTTTTGTGCGGCCACTTAAGACTCCACACTCACGGCAGTGGAATGCGACATTGCGCAGTGCATGGCAGCCGTCTTCCTGAACGGTTCCGTTGGAGATGTTGCGCTCCATTGCGTCCACAATTGCCTTGATGGCTCCTGCTTCGCCTGCCGCTTCCTTCCCCACCGCTATAACCACAAGCTGTTTTGAGAAAAACTCTATTGATTTTCAATGTTTGAAAAGGTCAATGCTCACGGTTGTTGAACGTGGCGTGCGAGAGCTTTGAGAAGCCCTCGGCCGCCACGAGCGGAGAATCGCTCTGGACCATAGCGATGGCCTCGGCAACCTCGCTAGGCACAGCCACCGCCGCCTCCTTGCCCTCCTCCTGAACGCGCGTCGACGACCGAACCACCATTTTCGTCAACTTCGATTTAGTTGCCTTTTTTCAACTGTCTAAAAGAGTAACTTCATATTTTGATTACGTGCCACACATCATTTGCTAAATTTCATACATATTCATTCATTTCAAAGCAATCCTTCACTTCATTCTCAGCAGGATCGATCATCATGGGCAACAAGCAAGCGAAGCCGACGCCGCCTCCGTCTACCTACTCGACCAACCCCTCCCGCTCGATCAGCGCCCCGCCTAGTGCAGCAGCGTCGGCACCCCCGCCACCCCCTCCGCCTGCGCCTTCCAGCGCTCCTCGTACCACTTCGGCGCCGGTTCAACCACCTCCTGCACACTCGCTGCTGGAGACGAAACTGGCCGAAGTGGACGTGTCCGCCGTGTTCTCGCAGCATGAAATGCTGTCTATTCGCAAACATTTGGCGGCGGTTCTTGGTCAACACGAGAACGATGCCGTGGTGATCCCCAAGGACGAGTTCTTCCGCTTTTTGGCAGGCGGTGACGGAAGCACCTCCAGCCTCTATGTCAACCGCCTCTACTCGATCTTTGACATGGACAAGAAGGGACATGTAAGGGAGAAATCGACGTGTTTTAGTAGGATTCTTATAGAACTTATCGAGCTATACGGTGACATTTAGGTGACGTTCGAGGACCTGATGAAGGGCTTGTCATTGCTGAGTCAGAAGGCGACGCGTGAACAGAAGCTCATGTTGTCCTTCTACTTGCTGGATCCCGAAGGCACAGGATTCATCACCAAGAAGATGACGACGGAGCTGCTGCGCTCGTGTCTTGCGGAATGCAACGGTACGCTCGATGGTTTTATTCACCTGTTTGAATCACTACTGACTATCGGACTTGCAGAGCTGGAGATCTCACTATCGGAGGCTCAACTGGCTCACATTGTCGACAACACCTTCCTGGACGCCGATCTAGACCGCAACGGAGTCATCGATCTGAATGAATACCAGGTACGCTGGAAGTCGTGCCTCCTAGTTCGACCAAGTCGTTTGTTTTTATTTTAACTTATTTTCATCTTGCTGCAATTCAATCTTTAGGCTCTGGACGCGAAGCACCCGGGACTGTTTGACTTCCTCACAGTGGACGCATTCGGCGTGCTTAGCCACTTGGAGAAGGTCCACTCCATGAGCATTACCGTCCCTCAGTAAGGCAAAATAGCAGCTCAGAACTCCACACCTTTAATGCATTTGCACGGCTAGCTCAGCTTCATTCTTTTCATAAACAAAAAAGGCCTTTTTTTCTTTCTTGGCACGGGTTTTTTGTTTTTTAAAACCTAGCGCTAGCGAGTTTATTTCTTCTTCTCCGGCAGCGCAGCGGGAGTCATGCCGGTAATGCCGTACAGAGCAATGTACGCTTGCTGCTTCTTGATGAGGCTCGTGGAGATGGCGCTCTTCTTGATGCCGAGACCCCACTTCTCCTCGAACACAGCGCTTGAAGTCGGGGCGGAAGCAGCCTTAGGAGCAGCAGGAGCAGGCTTAGCGGCAGGAGCAGGCTTAGCGGCAGGAGCAGCCGGGATGGCCGGGCCAGGCACGGTCTTCTTCGTGGTCTGCGAGGTTACCAGGAAGTCCTGGGGCACCACCGGCTCGTGGGTCTTGGCGTCCACAGGCACGTCCTCCTTCTTGGGAGGCTTCTCCTCAGCCGACAAAGCAGGAGCGGCGGGGGCGGACGGAGCGTCCTCCAGCTTGAAGTCTTTGAAAGCGGCGACAGATTCCTCCTCATCGACCACGACCATCATGGGCTGGCCCACAGGGATGTTCTCAGCGCCCTCCGGGATGAGAATCTTGGCCAGATACATGTCGTCCGTGGCTTCGTAGTCGACGACGGCCTTGTCCGTCTCGATCTCGCACACGATGTCACCGGCGCTGATGGCGTCACCTTCCTTCATGTTCCACTTGGACATGTTGCCCGTCTCCATGGTCGGGGACAGCGCTGTATGAAATTATTGTCATGTCAATAAGAATGCAACTCGGTGATTTCAAGTTGCTGTAACGTACAAGGCAGGCCGATAACCTCGTGATCCGGGTACGAGGAGAAGCTGCGCGAGACGCAAGCGGCGATGCGGCGCTGGGCCGGCAGGGCAGTACGCAGACGGAAAGCGGTGCGAAGCATGGC